GAAGGAGGTCTAGGTGCGCGATATCGAGGTCTCGGTGCACCGCGGAGATGCACCTGGCGGTCTCGGCCCTGAAACCCGTAAAACCCGTAAAATCCGTAAAACCCGTAAAATTGGAGCCATTACCTTCGCGGTGGTCGACTATTTTCCGGTATTCGATGTAAACCTAGACCCAGGAAAGAGATATGGCGTCTTCTTCTCTCCTCCTTCCCGGCTGGCATTGACTTACTGGCGGTGGTCTCTTCCTCCTCTCTCGGTTTACCCTACTTAGAAATCGACCCACTTTCGGCGAGGTTGCTCGATAATACGTACGTATACGTGCATATACGCGGGTACATACATATCGTAAAGCTCCTTCCGACCATCTCGGGAACGCATTTCGGGGCGATGTCGAAAAGGAAGGCGAAAAGTCCGCCATCTTATTTCCCCCCCTGGAGAATGCGCTCGGAATTGAAGCGCCACGCGTGTTAAGATGTTAATTTATGAAATATCAGAGTGATTCAGGCGTGGAAAGGCTACTTGGAATTTATAATAACTCGGATGTGTGAGGCTGCATTAATAATCCCGGCCCGAAGTGCTGCACCTTTCCGTTTTTTAATTGCCGACTTAATGGGGGATACGGCAGGCCCGTTATTTTGTTATTCGTTAATTGGCATAATTGGCTAATTTATCAATTAGGGAGTGCAAGTAGGAATCGAATCCATCGCAGGATCCGACCCCGATAGGTGCGTTTGCGTAATTTCCTATATCTTTCTGCGTCCCGTTCTTCGGATGCGTTCTTCGATTTTAGAATTTCGCACAATTTCTGGCGGATTTTTGCCGACAGGGAGCGTTAAATTTCGGATGGAATTTCTCTCTTTTTCCCCGATTTTCTGCCCGGCGACATCCCGGAACGACGAATCCAAAAATTCTGGTCGTGTTTTCACTTTGACGCCTACCCCGGCGTGTCCGAAGAAGTCGAACGCGAGTCGCATCGGCGCTTCGGCGAGCGGGAGGGAAAGAGAGGGCGCGATGCCGCGACCTGCGGAGCGAGAGAGAGATGAGATGGGTGCATCGAGTCACCGGGGAGTCCCTCGCCCTCCCGTGGTTTTCTCTTTCTGCGGATCGCAAAAAACACGTCCCATTCAACCGGGGATATTGTTCGCTCGTCGACTCGCTCGACGGAATTCGAGCTCCCCTCGAGAGCGACACGCGAAGGTATTCGCGAATCCTGAAGAGGACGCGGAAGACACCTCGCGAAAACGACATATCCAACACGTACGTACGTTCCGACAGGAGAGGTTTTATCTTGACCGCCTGTGACGACGGAAAACGACTTTTCGATGCTTACCTCGAAGAGGTATTCCTTGGAGTCAAATTTTCTTCGACGATTTCGTTTTATCCCGCGAGATTATACAAGAGGGATTTTTTCTTTACTGATTGCATCTCGTGGCGCGAAGAATCGACCATTGGCTCGAATTTTAGCAAGCGCAGGAATACGTGAATAATTAAAAATAGGAAGAAAAAAGGAGCCTTTGGCACACTTGGACCGCGCGACAAAGGACGAGGACGGGACGAGCGTTCCTGGTTTATTGTTTCGATTTATTTGTTTCCTTGATTCTTTTTTCTTTCCCCTCGGCCGGTCTCCATGGGGACGCGCGGCATCGCGTTTTGGTTTTTTTTTCTATTTTTCTGTTTTTTTAGAAACTCGATTTATCGACGTTTCACCGCCGAGTGATAAATATACGCAGGATGCGATCCTTCCAGGACGACCGGGAGAAAAGGGACGTTCGCGGGACGGAAGTCGAACCAGGGAAGTCTATCGACGTTACTGGTAATTTCACGAATTTACCTGTAAATTGCATTTCGAAACGGCAGGAGTACCAGAAAATGTGCAACGGTGCATCCTTGGTAGGCGAATTAAACACGGTTACTCCTTCGGTGAAAAATCGCTGACAAAAATCATGACTATCGTGGTTCCTTGAAAGTCTTGAAGTCCTCTGCGGTTTGGCCTTTTTTCGAGGGGAGGGACCGAATTGGAGATGAAAAAAAAAAATGAAAAGGTGAGAGACTCGACGTAAAAAGAAAGGAATCTTTCGCGCTCGAACGAGATCGTCCTTTTCTTGTCGGGGATCCTTTCCAACGTGCGGTCTTGGCGACCCACGTCTTTGTACCCTTTAAAAAGTCGAGGCAAGGTGCCTCGAAATGCTTAATTCCGCTTTATCAGGGGTTTCTCTCTAACCCTGAAACGCCTTCTTTCCCCCGAGATTGACCGTTTGCCCTGCGCACTGCTACGCAAGGGCCCTGAAAAGTCACTCAGAAAATCATCGAAAAAATTTTTTTTTCAAACCATTCTACAGACGATCGCAGGTTCCACGTTAGAATTGTATGAGAGAACGAAATTATTTCCCAGCTGCCATAGAATGTTGCACAAGTTGCAACCGCGTCGAGGCGACCGCGCAGTTCGTCGAGTCGCCGACTCGGCCACCTCCTCGCAAAAAGTCTGAAAATTCCGCAGCCTCCGCTCCGCAAAAAGCCGATGCATCTTTCGCGCTCGAGCGGCTCGTTATTTCTTTCTGGCGATCGTTTCCGACGTGCGGTCGTGGCGCCCCTCGGTTCCAGGAGTCGATCTTTAGCGCTTCCAATGCGGAACGGCGATCCTCCTCGGCCAAGAAGATGGCCACGGAGAGTCGGCCCGCAAAATCAGAGACTGCCCCGCGGAGGCGTGAAAATCCTACGGGGGCTCCTCGATATCGCCGATTTCTTGCGTTCCAGTGCGTTAACCGGCCAGGAGAAAAATAGGAACGGGGCCGAAGAAACTGGGAACCGGGAACCAGAAACCGCAGACCCTGAAGGGACTCTTCAACCTCCTGGAACCGACCTCTACCTGTCCCCGCGACTCCGAAATTAACCTTCTCCTCCTTTTTTCATCCTACGTTGCGTACTAAATTTATTTTCTAAATTTTACATAAATTTCCTCGGGGACTTCGATCGAAGGAAATTCATGAAGATATCTAACCTCGGGATAATGACGGTACCGCGTTGAAACGGATCTGTAGGTTTTCTTAGTCTCGTAAAATAAATACAGTTAAATCGCGTCGTCCGGCGTTCGCGAGCATCATGGCGTCCGTTCCGTTCCGTTGCCCAGTCCAACCATCTCGATAGCGGAAAGAGTGGAAGCCTCCGACTCCGCAATCTCTCTTACAAGGATACTTTGTATCCCCGGACGTTTCTTATGGTCCAAAGCAAGTCCTCGGTCGTCTTCGGTTCTGGATGAAGGAACGCGGAATGCCGCCGCCCGTTCCTTGGCGCGATCCGGTACCAAAATGGCGGCACTCCGGTTAATCCTTCGGAACCGTCTTCGTCGTTTTTCGAACTAACCCCCTTCGCAAGAAATAAAAAGTATTTAGGAAGAAATTGAAAAATGAAAATTAAATTCCGTGGTAAAATAATCGCAACCAAATTCGCGGGGTAAACTTAAAGTCGAGGGAGGTTCGGGTTAACGTAGGAGGCGCGCGAGAAATGTCGCGTCTCATTATCGCTCCGTCCTAAGCGGCCTCGCAAAGCCAAAGGATGGACGGTTTATTTAGGGGCCCCTTGCCAACTGTCAACGAGCCGGCGCAGCCGGGCGTAAAGTGGAGCGAAAAAGAATTTCATAAGGTGCCTCTTGGCCGGCACTCGAGACCTCCCTCGGGAGTTGTTTCTGCCGGGATAAACCGGCGACTTTGACGCTCGACGGGACGACTTTCTGGACTCGGAAGAAAGCCCGTCTCGCGACGATGGCTCTCCCCTTTCAGAAAAAAAATGTCCATTAGGCTCCGCAAATCCGATTACACGGTCCAAACCCGAGAATTGCCCGCTTCTTATTTAAACAACGGCTAAATCGATACGTAGATTCGACGTAATCTCGGATGAATAAATTTCGGCGTCGTCGGGGATGTGAATTCGGTGGAACTTGGGGGAATTAGCTCGTTGATTAATCCAATGGGCGAGCAGGGACTCCGTTAAGCGGCGCGTTCATTAGTTCGGCGTTGTTTCATAATTGCGGGGCGTTTATCGCCCCCGAGGGGGGAAATAAGCCGATCCTTTGTAAAAGCTAAACTTCCCGATACGGAGTCAACGATCCCGCAAGCCATCGGCAGTTGAAACTTTCTGACAAATCGCTCCCTCCCCCCGACCTTGAACTTGCCGCATTCCGGGACGCGTAACTAAATTACGGAGCCATTTAGGCGGCCACCGTTCAAGGGTGCTTCCGACCTAGGGATTTCCCCTAGGCGCCCGCAAACTCCCTATGCCGGGCGTCGACCCCTCCGCGTCTCGCTTTCATCGGCGAGTGATCTCTCCGACTCCGGAAACTCGAGCAAAAATTAAATCAAGCCCCGTCTTTTATTTTCTCCCCGAAAGTCTGTAATCCTGAGTTACCGTTCACGTTTCCCGATTAATCCCCGAAATATTCGAGTCGAGAATTATTCATTGAACCAACAGAATGTATCTTTGGTCCCGTTCAGGGAAATATCTCTTCGGTTCGATGAAATTTATTTCTCAGGGCAGGAATGAAAGATGACAAGTGTCGCTAAACTGAATCGGATCGTTTCTCCACGAAATACCCAACATTCCGCTAGAGATCATTCCCGGTGCGCGCTTTCTCCGATTTAACCGCACAATCGTCCCGATCACTTCCCGATCGCCCTTAACGCATAAAGTCGGGAAGGCCGACCGATCCTTAACTCGGCGATGAATAATTCAGCGACGCCGAGTAGCCTACTCGCGACGATTACGCGCAGCTTCGATTTTTGTCGAACGGCGCGGCCGTTTGTTTCTCTCGGGTTCCGCCCGCGGAAATCGGCCGCGGTGGCCGCCGTATTAGAAATTCAAATGCACCCGCGAAAACGGTACCGCGCGTAATCGCCGTCGCGGTCCATCGAGCTCTCCGGTGAGCGTTGGGCGAATCGGCGAAGAATCTTCGCCGGAAGGGTCGAAACCCTCGAAATTTTATTTTTCAAAAAAAATTTTTCTGGTTGCAGATACCGGCGCGCCGTACGTGCTGTACAAGGACAACATGGATCGGCCCCAGGGTCAGTGGGGCCCGGGGCCGGGGTCCGTCCAGGACGGGAGCCTGTACGGTCAGCAACAGCAGCAGCAGCAGCAGCAGGGATCCTCCTCGTCGGGGAGTCCGCAGCAGGCCTGCGGCCCCCCGGTCGAGGGGGGCGAGAGCGGCCCCGCGCCCTCGATGGCGTCGCCGGTGCCCTCGCCGTACCCCTCGTCGGCCCAGGATTCGCAAGCCCTGAGTCCCCAGGACGAGGACATCCAGTCCGGGCAGCAGGCGGCGGCCCAGCAGCAGCAGCAGCAGCAACAGCAGCAGCAGCAGCAGCAACAACAACAGCAGCAGCAGCAGCAGCAGCAGCAACAACAGCAAGCTCAGCAGCAGGTGCAACAGCAGCAGCAGCAACAGGTGCAGCAGCAGCAGGACCACTCGCCCCAGCAGCAGCTGACCCCCCACGAGGTGGACCGCGGAGAGTGCTTCCCGGGCGACCTGCAGCAGTACCCCCAGCACTACTTCAAGGAGGCCAGGCCGCACCCCTCCCCGTCGGTGCCCCCCCACATGCTGACCCCCGGGGGATTCTCGGCGCTGCACTACCTGAAGCAACCCGGAGTGATGCTGACCTCGCTGGGCCAGGGCGACGGGGGGCCCGGCCTCGAGGCGCACCAGTACGCCGGGCCCGGGCCCGGCAACATGGCCGCCGGGCTGCCCGACATCGTCCAGCAGAGCGGCAAGCCCTCCAAGCCCGCCAACAGCGACCTGCGACTGTTCAAGTGCTTGACCTGCGGGAAAGACTTTAAGCAGAAGTCGACCTTGCTCCAGCACGAGCGGATCCATACGGACAGTAGGCCCTACGGGTGCCCGGAGTGCGGCAAGCGGTTCAGGCAACAATCCCACCTTACCCAGCACCTGCGCATACACGCTAACGAGAAGCCCTACGCTTGCGTGTACTGCGAGCGCACCTTCCGTCAGCGCGCCATCCTCAACCAGCATCTGCGCATCCACTCGGGTGAGAAGCCATACCAATGTCCGGAGTGCGGAAAACACTTCCGTCAGAAGGCGATCCTGAATCAGCACGTCCGCACACACCAAGGCGAGCATTTCTCTCTGCCTCCCAGACTCCCAGAGGGCGTCCGCCACGAGAACACTTTCCCACCCACCGCCACCGATGCTTCTTCTAGCTCTACTTCCCGCCGCTCTTCCGCTAACTTTGCCTCTAGCGCGACCCCGTCCCCCGCGAACGCGCAGGGGACCCCGGACGGGTCGGACCCGAAGATCCCCGGAGAGAGGGCGGAGCCCCTGCCGCCGGCCATCCGCGACCTCCCGCAGACCCCTGCGTCCCTTCTCGACCACTTCCGACCTAGACGTTGCGCCCGGTACTCCTCCGCCCTGTGCAGGGCCATCTCCGCCGCTCTGCCCCATCTCACCGTCACTCCCGTGCCCCGCGGACCCGACAAGCGGTCGCTCTTCGCGGGCGGGCCGGGTCGTCCTGGCGTCACCGTGGACCGGTTCGACCTCGGATTCTCGTCGGACAGCGACTACTAGGTCTCGGGGATTTCCCCCAATTTTCTCGGATTTTTTCTCCGGCCCTGCTAGGATCGCTCTCCGGGTCTTCCTCTCTTCGACGAGGATCCAAAATCGTTTCGCGCCGATCGGGAACAGGGACAACGGGGGCGAGAGGGAGTCAGGGATCGGAAACGCAGAGGAACGTCCAGAATTCGCGAAAAGATGGGGCACTTTCTACCCGGGAAACGTCGAGTCGCGGGGACCGGATCGCATCCCTGCCCTTCTTGCCCCTCCTGCGACGATTTTCAGGGGACCGGTCTCGGCTTCTAGTTTTGGGTCGTTACGCGTAGTTGCTTATTGCGCCGATGAATTGTAAAATGGCAGTTCCATTAAACGAATGAATAATTATCAAGGACTCGATCGCCAAGTCCAGCTGGACCGGTCGCAAAGGAGGAACGTCGCCGGTTAAATTCCTCGGGGGCGTCGCCCGAATTCTAGCGGCACCGCGACCGGAGTCTCGCTTCCTCCGGTTTCATCCCACCCGGGTAGGTCAGGCCCCATCCCTCGTCGGAGCACGTTTAACCAGGCCCCGGCAAACTAATACCGCCACCCTAACAGCAGCCCCAGGTTCCAGGTCCCGATCTAAAGGTAACCGTTGTCCTTGCAGACGTGAGCCCGCACCTGATCTTCAAGAACGGGATGACGCCGACGCTGTGGCCGCAGGACGTGCCGTTCCCGCCGGAGGAGGGGAAGGAGGAGGTGGCCTCCACCTTCGGGGACACGGACACGCAGTCGGGAGCGTTCAGTCCGGCCCCGGACGCGAACTCGATCCAGTACCCCGCGTACTTCAAGGACCCGAAGGGGGGCAACCACGCGGTCTTCGGGGCGGGGGGCTCGGGGACGTTCGGCGCCCTGCAGTACATAAAGCAGCAGGGGGCAGGAAAGGGCTGTCTGCCGGACGTGATCCAGCACGGCCGCTCGGCGGGCATGCCGCTCTACGTGCGCTGTCCCATCTGCCAGAAGGAGTTCAAGCAGAAGTCGACGCTCCTGCAGCACGGCTGCATCCACATCGAGTCGAGGCCCTACCCCTGTCCCGAGTGCGGCAAGCGGTTCCGCCAGCAGTCCCACCTGACCCAGCACCTGCGCATCCACACGAACGAGAAGCCCTACGGCTGCGTCTACTGCGGCCGGAACTTCCGGCAGCGCACCATCCTGAACCAGCACCTGCGCATCCACACGGGGGAGAAGCCCTACAAGTGCCAGCAGTGCGGCAAGGACTTCCGGCAGAAAGCCATCCTGGACCAGCACACGAGGACCCACCAGGGGGACCGGCCCTTCTGCTGCCCCATGCCCAACTGCAGGCGCAGGTTCGCCACCGAGCCCGAGGTCAAGAAGCACATCGACAACCACATGAACCCCCACGCGGCCAAGGTGCGCCGCAACTCCACCGGGGACTCGAAGCCCCCGGGGGCGGGCGCCACCCTGGGCCCCGTGCCCGTGCCCCGGGGCCTCACCCCCGCCGTGGTCAAGCCCGAGCTGTACTTCCCGCAGTGCTACGCCCCGGCCTTCAACCACCAGCCCCCGGTGTCCAGTGCCCAGTTCCCGGGGCAGGCCAACGGCGTGGCGGTGGCCGCGGAGTTCAAGCCGCCGACCGGACTGCCGCCTCAGTGACTAACCGTCCACCCTGCAGCCTATTAGCCAGCAGGAATTCCCCTGAGGTTCCAGCGCTGCCTCGGCTACGCCCTGGGACCCGCCGCCGACCCGGCCCACCGCCGCTACCAGTGATCGGCTCCATCCCCCGCAGCGATCGCAGTTCCTACTTTTCGTTGCGCCTCCCCCGACCCCGACCCCGACCCCGTCTAATCGACCATCCTCCCTGGGGTTTCTTCTCTTTCCCGCAGGCGTGCGTCCTCGCGAGCCGGAAACTTTTTTTCCTTCTCCCGGAAGAGATCGTCCGGGTGGAGCGTGAGAGTCGGAGAGAAAGAGACCGCTCGCGTCCGCCGAAATCGGTTGAAAGATGTTCGATTTTCGACCAGACTGAAACGATTGTGATACAATATTTAACTTGCCTACGTTTTAAAATGAGGGAAGGTTTAGAGAGAGATAAACGGAGTCCGTGGAAGGTCGAGCCGAGCGGCCGGATTGACGGTGGGACGCGCGGCGGGGTCCTGGAAACCCACGGGTGTATATACGTAACGGACGCTGACCATGTTGCGAAACTGAAAGGGGCGACGGGAACGGGTCCGAGGGGCAGGGGGTGGTCCAAGCGGATCGACGCTCAGGGTGGGGACGAGGCTTCGAACGAGATAAGGGGTCCGCCCGATCGTTTGCGGGTTGCTCCCGCAGTCAAGGAAGTTCCTTCGTCCGTGAGGGTGTATCCCCACCTTCGAGGTCGGAACCCATGGGAATTTCCCGTGGCGCCGACGTCGGACCGGGAGAGGACCCTGGCCCAACCTGGCGGAAAGACCCCGTGCATCCCCCGACGCCTGGAGAAGGCTTCTCCTATTTCCGGGCACCTTCCATCGGCCGTCTCGTGGCCGTTCCGACACCCGAAGAGCCATCCCGAGGTCGGAGGACGCGCAAGGTAACGAATGGGAAGCGGAAAACGCCCGAGGTCTAGGGAGGTACGACTCTTACACAATTAGTATACTATTACGGATACTTGGACAGCGTGTTTACACGGCAGGCATGACTTTCTACCTGCCGCTCGAGGATATTTCGATTCGGTTTTTGGAAACCACGACTTTTTGGTGCTGTTAAACCTAGGTAAGCATACGAACGAGGAGGGAACGCGGACGAAGGCTGAGACACACCGTAGAGTAGCGTTAGTAGGGTAGTCCATTTAGGCGTCGTAGTTTGACGAGGAGCCGCCAGGCAGCGGCGCGCTCGTCGCTCTCGGGGGAGCGGCTTCTCCCGCGAGAGCGGCGGCGCATCGCGCGGTATATCGCGTACCCGCGCTGATATACGTACACTCTGACTCGTATATATATACACACACATGAACACATACACTCTCTTACGTGGCAATACTTAAGTGGCGAGGAGTAAGAAATTTTACGTACTAGGGATAGTCTCTCAAATCTCTATCTTAAGACGTGTGATCTCTCTAATTATTGTATATTATATATAATGATCTATTGTCTAGTAATGAGATATTAAGTATATGTATATATATGTACACAGGCATATATATATGTATACAAATTGTAACGATTACACAGTTTAGGCACCCTGGGCATGCGCGTATATGCCTGCTTACTCGCAGGTGTGGCTTCCGTTTGTACGTCGATGTCGTGTACGCGCGTTCCCAGGGTCTTATGATTTAGAGATGAGATTTCAGATACGATAATTGCGCGGCCATTACTCGCGGTGGCCTGTTCGTAGTGCCTCGGAATTGCTGCTCGCCGCAGTGATTTTAAACGTATTTTAGGAAGGTATATTACATTGTACGGTTTAAAGCTGCTACTATCGATACTACGATATACAGTGCTAGATATTATAACGTGTCATTCGTTGCCACGCTAAACGACTTATTAAATTATTAGAAGTTATACCGTGTGGCGCGTGCGCGCATGCGCGTCGGCACCGCGTCGAGCCGCGCGAGAGCGACTCCATGTTCTCCGAATTCTCGTTTTCGGTCGTGATTTACGTTGTAAACCTCCCCGGTGTCTTTCGGTTTCGCGATTTCTTTCGTTTTCCGGCCCCGGGGAACCTATCCTTCAGATTTCCCGGGACGGCGGTCCCTCGACTTTGGCCGCGGCCGAGATTTTAAAAAATACCTCGCCGAAAACCACTCGCGAGGGCTCGATTTCGTCCCTTTTCGACGGTCCTCTATTTGGGATCGAATTTAAATTTGACTGACTAGGATCGCTCTTGTTTTTGTTTCTTTTTTTTCTTTTTTAGAACTCCGCCCTTTTCTGTGCAAACGTGTACATAATTCCTGTAGGAGTTGCCGAGATATTTTGTTTCCTAACGATTGTTAGGAAAAGGAAATCATCCGTGGGATGGTTTCCTTTTCCTTGGGTGTTCAGCAGGGCATTTCCTACTTTCGAGTAGTCTTTTGGGTTTTCTTTTTTTTTTTTTTTTCCTTTTAACTGAGATTATTTAGATGTACTTCTCGCGATCTTGCCTCGACTGTTTCTTGGCGAATTGCATTTTATCGCCTGTATCTTCTTTGTTTATTCACCTCTCGCGTCGCGTCCGAATATTCCCCGCAGCTTTCTCGTTCGTCCGACGCTTTTGCGAACTGCTCTCGGTGATCTCGATAGACCATTATTTTATTTTTATTTTTTTTTTTTTATAAAGGCGCGATCGCGAGCGCGCCTTCAGACCTCACGAGACGAAAGTCTAGGAAACGAGGATTGAAAATCGAGCCGGGGAAATCGACCGATTACGGGCTCGATTATCGTTTACAAGACGTCCATTACAGAGCTTGAGGACTGCTCTCGGCCGACCTCTTCCCGGAATTTCACCTCCTCGTTTTCTACCTATCTCCATTCGCAGTGGCATTTATGGTGGTGCTCTTCAAGTTCCAAATGTCGACGCATAAAACCCGGAATGACCGTGCAATTAAACTCGAAGAATCTTCACTTTCGCGACGCCCCTCGAAAAAGAAGAGGAAAAAAAAAAGAAACGGAACCGAAAAATAAATCCCCAAATTTCTCCGGCAAACGGCTCAAAAATGCATTTTATCTTCCTTTTCTCTCTCTATCGCTTTCGTCGGGCCAAAATGTCCGTATTAAAAACCCCGACGGTAAGATCCATAGAAAATGTGTCGATTCCCGGAAATCGAGGGCGAAAAGTGGAGCGTACTTTTCGAAAGCCGGGAGGGGCTAGAATTTTCTCCGGGTTCCCGAGAGAATTGCTCCCGTTCCTTAACGAAGTGCTCGAAAAGAGGCCTTTCTCTCCCGCTTCCGGTAACAATCGGCGTTTCCTTCTTCCTCCGGGCATGTCCTTCCTTTCCGGCGAGCCACTCGAGTCGTACGGAGGTAGAGAAAAAACCTACTAATGAGGTGGAAAGCACGTATCGCCGGGTGCGTAATTAAAGAGGGAAATTATCGCGAGCCTCTCGGCAAAATGGGATTTGTCCTCTTGGTCCCCTCTGGCCGGCGATTCGCCTCTTGTTAGCCGAAAGGGAAAGTCGCGGGTCTCCGCTAATGATCCTTCCGCGGCGTCCGCGCGATCTTCGGGGTGGTTTTTCAAACCCGCGGGACGAGATCGCTTTTCCGGCGACATTGTTGCCGCCAATTAACGGGGCCGTTTCCCTCGGAAGGCGTGGTCCAGAATGCGACCGCTCGCGCGTTTCTTTAAGACGCGGACGGGAAGAAAGTGCCGATCTCGAGTCGAGCGTCGTTAGCGAGCCGCCATCTTGGTCGCGAATTAATCCCCAGGGTGGCTATTTAATGCCAGGAAAGAATTCGACGTCTCCGTTGAAAATTCCCCGCAGGGTTAAATCCGCGTGCCCGAATATCCATCCCGGGAAATATCTCGTCCTGGAAAGAGAGAGAGGGACGATAAAACGACGACTTAACAACGTTTAACGAGGGAGGGGAAGAAGAGAAAAGTTCGGTCAGAGACGCCGTAAATCCTTGGAAGGAAGTTGAAGTTGGGCCCTGTAAACAAGCCCCGGGAAGTCCGGCGAAAAAGTGCCACCCTGGAGGGGGTAATGGGGGGGTTTTCGCGTAGAGCCCGGCATTCCCGTAATTCGGTCCGAAGGTGTGCACGATCGGCACGTAACCTCTTCCGCGATCGTAAACCGAACGAGAGGCAGCGCCATCGGGGCAATCAACACCTCTCGCGCCGCGGAGAAAGGGAAAAAACGCCGATTCGATTACCCCGTTTGAACCGGCGCCATTAAACTCCTCCCAACATGGCGCTCTCGAGAAACTTCCGTCCGAGGAGCGGCATTCGCCCCCTTTTTGCCTCGTTTGCATCCTCGGGAAAGCGACGCCCCGGTTGGTCCCTTGGTCCCTTCCCGGGTGCCGCGTTCCGTTGGTCCGCTCCGACGGACATTCGAGACCCCCTTAAATATCCTCGACGTATCTCCAAGGACGATCGACGTTCAATCCAGTTTCCATTGATCTCTCGTATTTTTTCATTTGATTTTCCTGAAAATGTCACTTTACGCCTCTCGATCTCGAGCGCGCGGGGAACTCGTAACCTCGTTGCCCGGGTTGTTACGCTTCATTTTTTCCTCTTTTTGAGTTGTAACGAGTTTACAAGACGACTGTCTTTCCTCGGAATTTCGCGGCGACGCGGCAGAGCTTTAGGGTGCCAATCGGCGAAACTTGCGAGTCGAGAGTAACCTCGCACGAGAGGGCGAGACATGTAGATACGGAAAGCTCCTTGTTTTTCATTTTGTACCTCCTATCCCGTACTCGATAATAATTATCCTACGACCCGCATATTATTATATTATATTATTAATTATGATTAATTATTAAGTTTTCGAGAGAGATTTTGCATACGATGCAGCAGTTAGTTGTATTTTAGAGGTTTTTATATCATTATATCATTACCGTAGCTCGTGACTATTATTTTATATCCGACATTTTAGATGGTTTTACACATTTATTTGATAACTGATATCGATTATTACGATTATAATACTTTTCACGCTCGCAGTCACAAAAATCCATCGTGTGATATATACGTATATCCGTCGCGACGCGTTATCGAAGGTCTTTCCGGGGGTATCCTCGGTTTGCGACTCGCGACTCCTTTGGCCTCGCTCGATTAGCCGATTTCGATCTCGACCTCGAAGACGTCGCGTCGGGCCGCTCGCGGCCACGCGGGGTCGAACGACGTCGAAGGAGGATCCGT